ATCTTGTGACTTATAGCTGCTGGCCATCCCTGATATAACATATTATAATAAATAGGTAATTACTTTTTATATTTATAATATAGGCCCAAAATTATTGCTTAAGTGTCAAATTCATGACAAAGTTATCGGAAGTGCATCAAATGGGTTAGATTTCCAAAGATTAGTTAATGCATGTAAATTAAAATGTAATGTTAAACTTTCTTGTGGGCATTTATGTAAGGAATTATGTCATGTTGAAGATAGTGGCCATTTAATGGTTAAGTGTTCAAATGTCTGTAATAGGTAAGAATTTTTAATCATTGAGTTAATCAAATGTTTTAAACAGCAATCTTTTATGTTTTGTATAGGAAATGTTCTCGAAATCATAAATGCCTTAAAATGTGTCACGAAGAGTGTTCATGTCAAGTGTTAGTTAGTGAAATTAGCAATTGTGGGCATAGGATTAAAGGAAAATGCAGTGATATAGAAAATATGAAATGTGATATTAAGGTGTATTATCTTTATTCAAGATCTATTTAACAATAATTTTAATTTTTGATGTTTGTTTATATTCTAGGTAAAAAAAAAATTAAGTTGTGGRCATACTCTTGAGAAAAAATGCTATGAACAAGTTAATTGCATTGAAATATGTAACAAACCCAACTCAAATTGTTTATTTAGGCATTTATGCAAAAAATTATGTGGTTTAAATTGTGGTTCATGTACATATCCTATTCCTATTATAATGAAATGTGGACATATATCAGAATTTTCTTGTTCTCAAGAACCAGACWCAGTAGAATGCTTAGAATGTAAGGTAATGTGAAATAAATACTACCACATAATATTCATCTAGTTTTATGTAGAGAGYAGGTTTTTTAGATTTTATGTATTTTATTAACTCTACGCAGATAAATGGTAGTGAATTATAGAAAACTTATCCATTATAGAATTTATAAAAAATAATTTATTTTTGAGATTAGAGAATATTCAAGTATATTGTATTAGGTACTGACGGTACTGTCTATAAAAAAATTATACTTGTTCATTTCTCGAGTAGTATTTATTTCTTTGCTGCAAAAAAAATAAATTAAAAGTGATGGAAATTGTTCAATTAATATTTTTTCATTGAATTAAAAATTGTTAAATTGTTTAAAATGTGACTGAATTTAAATAATTTAATGAAAAGTTARCAGTAATTATTTYCACGTTTAAGCATATTATTTACAATTTACATATTGTGCAATTAATGGATGGTAAAATGTAAATATTATAAATTTATCTATAAAGATTAATTTATATATACTATTTTACTATTATACTTTTGTTTCTTGTCTAAAAAATATCTTCTGCGTATTTTACCAGTTTAAGGATTATTAAGAGGATATTTTTAGTTTTTTTTAGAGCACAATAGAACTATATTTTAAACTTTAAAAAACCTAAATATCTGATTTTAAGTTATGATAAATTAATAAGCAATAATGATACAAAATTTCATGAACAACTTTGTAGTAGATACTAATATGTATGCAATGCTAGTTGAAATTAATATTAGTTYTTGTACATRTATCATAAAATTGTTTATGCTTCTGAACWATTTAATGAAAACAATCAATGCAATAAATAAATTATTAACWTCTATGTATAATGAAGAACTATTTACTTCTTTACTAGCATTAATAGCACAAGCTTGATGGTCATACTAATTTTGCATTATGGTCATTATTATTATT